CCCCCCAAAAAAAAAAAATTACTTAAAGCACTGCTCACAGCCAAAGTTCACTTGGTATGCCCAAGTTTCAACTCTATCTTGCCATGCATACGAGGTGAAGAAAATGTTTTCCAGAGCATGTTGGTGAGCAGTCCTTCAGCAACCCTCCCCTCGGTCAGTGCCCAATCACAGCAACTTAGATCATTAAATACATTTTGTGATGTGGTGTTGGGGTCTCTGGCAAATGCATCAATACTGTAAAGAATTACCAACTATGATAGTATTAGGTGCTAGGCAATTGTGACTGCTGTGTACTTTACCTCCTATGAGTAAACTATGAGTAAAGCAAATACTTTACCTTCATAAAACAATAGACACTTACTGAACATGGGTAATTTAATAGTTTCATACAGCCAACTAACTTTGCAACCATCACTCCTCATTTCAATTCACAACATAACATGCTTGTATCTCTTGTTTTTTCATTCCTAAAGGTATAAAACAAAGTATTAATAATTGTTTGTGGGAATCCACAAACATTGCTGTATGAAGTAAAAACCTTAAGAATTTTTTCTAATACATTCACATTACAGAACACAATTTCAGTATCACTTGATTCCTCTCACCTTCTACAATGAACATATATGTAGGTTTTATTGCACAGAGAACCCCCATTAGCATCAAGTTTGGCTCTGATAGCAGGAGAGGGCATGAAAGTTCCCTGGAAAGTTGTGGAGTAAAATATGAACAACCTACACAGAATCAGTCACTACACTGCCTAATGCAGGGGGCTGTTCCTCCTGCCACCCTAACCCCTGCACAAGAAAACAAAGAATCCTCCATATATTCACGGCAGGATAGAGCGTTGGTCAGATTTGGCAATGCCACTCCAGCATGATGGTCATATGCTCTCTCCTGCCATGAATATGTGGAAGATTCTTTGTTTTTTGGGGCGGGGGTTGGGGGGTGGCAGACCCCCATGTGAGGCGTCCAGACTGTGGAGTATGGTCTGCGCAGGGAATACGTTCCCCGCGCAAAAATTAATTGGTCAAATTCTGTCCGCGCAAATGTAGTTCTCGGGTAACTTTCCGCGCACACTTGGTTCTTTTTAAAATCATCCGCACAAAAAATTCTTTTGACATTTCCACATACTTGTTTCATCATCCGTAGACAAAATGATATTTTCCACGCATGAAAAAATGTAATATTCCCCATGCAAGAAAAATACTCTACAGTTGGGGGGGGGGGTTACAAGGGGAACAGCCCCCCTACCTTAGACAAAATAGTGACTGATTCTGTGTGTGTT